ATGAATTTTATTTATTATAATTTAGATTTATTTATTTAATTATATTATATATTTTCACTAAAGGATTATTTTTTATTGTAACTATAATAATTTTATTTATTATAATTAGAAATTTATTTGTTTAAATTGTATTATATACTTTCACTAAAAGATTATTTTTTTAACAAAAAGATTAATCTCATTTTTTTTGGTTTCATTAAAAATAAAATATTAGTTATAATATTTATAAGTTATTAAGTTGTTTGAAAGTTTCGGTGGCTGTATTTAGGGTTCAGTTCATGTTTGTTTGGGACATGTTATACGGATCAGTGTGATATAGTTGTTTATTTTTAAAAATTCTATTCTCGAGCCTATGGTATTATGTGCTAATTTTCTCCAACTTACTCTTAAAAACTATCAATCAAGTGAAAAGATATTTACTCCCATTTACTTTTTTTATTAATGTTTCAAAAGAGATAAACGCACAATCATGATGTGCTAGATATAGTAAACGTAACAATATTTTCTCATTTTCTTTCTTTTTTTTTTTTTTTTTTTTTTTTTTTTTTTTTGACATAGAATTATTTTTCTGATTCTATTTGATCGGAAAAAATTGTGAGATCTTAGCGGCCACTGAAGTGGTGTTATAATGAGTAAGATTCTTTGGCATGATGGTGATAAGCTAATAACATATTATTTTGTCAGGTTATACGTCTGATATTCAGAGTTACTTTGTCATCATCTTGTGTATATTCGTTTCAAAATAATTGATTGTTATTTATTGTTTACTTTGTCTATAATAAAATGAACGACATCTTCATTTAAACATTTCACCATCTCTATCAAAATTTGATGTTCCTTTATATTTTGGACATTTTTATTTTTATCTACTATCAAACATATTTTAAAATATTATATTATTTTTAGTATTATAATATTTTATGTTTTGTTTTTTTTCATAAAAGCATATAGTTATTTTTATGTGTCCGATTATTTTTATACGCAGTAATTGATATAAATTCAGTGTGTATAAAATATCATTTTTAACAACAACTATAATTTATGTGGGAATCTTTGTATTTTTTATGTGTGTTTCCTTTTGATTTAGTTTGTATTCTGATTTTTTTTCCTGTACATTTAATGCATATTAATTCCTAATGTGCTACTATTAAAAATCTAGTGATACACACATAAAATATATTTATGTATTCAAATTTAGTAAGTAGATGATTTTTCTTAATTTATTGAAAATAAGAATAACATTAAATTTTACTATTTATATTTTTATATTCTTATATAAGTAACTGGGGCTGGCCCGGGCTACACCCGGGTTTTTAGTTGAAATTTTAAATATATATGTTGTATGCTATTTTGATATATAAATATTATAATCTATTATAAAATATAGGTATTTAGACAATTATATAACTATTTTTAATTATTATTTTTGTCTTTCGAATTTTAAAAGTTTAATATCAAAATTTTGTATGTCATAGATTATAAGTATGTGTTTTGCGTAGATTGTTGTGTGTTGTGGCTCCTCTCGATTTTTATTTCTGTATTTGTTGTGTGTTATTATTTTATTTTGAATTTATTTTTGTAAAATTTTGTTTGGTTATTTACTACTCATTTTTTACTATTTGAATTTTGTTTTTATATTTATTCTATTTTGATCTTATTTACCTAAAATGGAAAGAAAATTTAGTGTGTGAATCTTTTTTTCCTTAGGTTTGATGAAACGTAAAGGAAAACAATATGATAATAGATTTTTCATCTTTCAAAACTTATAGACTTCTTTATTTATTTTGAATATATTTAAGTATTTTGTAACTTTTACTTAACTATTTAATCTTTATTAATTTTTTTATTAAACATAGGAAAAAAAAATTTCATTAAACATAGCATAATTAAAATTTAATTAGTCTATTTTTATATCTTATTAGTTCTTGGTTTTTAAATTATTTTGGCTATGTATTAATTGTTAATTATTTTATATCATTTTGTATTCTAGGTTAACCTTAAATTTGGTAGTAAAAAAGAACCAAAATCTATGAGATTCAGTATTTTTATTTTTGTTGGTATAAATCTAATGAAATGTATAAAGATTAATAGCGAAAATTGATTATCCTCTTTCTCATAAATTGTATTTGTTATAATTACAAATTTATGTGTTTAATTATATTATATATTTTCACTAATGATTATTTTCATTATAATTATAATAATTTTATTTATTATAATTATAAATTTATTGTTGTAATTATATTATATATTTTCACTAATTGATTACTTTGTTAACAAAAAGATTAATGTCATTTTTTTGGTTTCATTAAAAATAAAATATTAATTATAATGATTTAGAAGTTATTAAATTGTTTGAAAGTTTCGGTGGCTGTATTTAGGGTTTACTTCATGTTTGTGTAGGACATGTTATATGGATCAGTATGATATAGTTGTGTATTTTTGCAAGTTATATTCTCGGACATATGGTATTATGTGCTAATTTTTCTCCAACTTATTCTTAAAAACTATCAATCGAGTGGAAAGATATTTACTCTCATTTATTTTTTTATTATTGTTTCAAAAGAGATAAACGCACACTCATCGATGTGCTAGATATAGTGTATGTAACAATATTTTCTCATTTTCCTTCTCTTTTCTATTTTATTTTTTTCTGATTCTTTTTTTGATCGGAAAAAAACTATGAGATCTTAGCGGCATTGAAGTGGTGTTATGAGGTGAAAGATTCTAAGGCATGATGGTGTTAAGCTAATGACATATTATTTTGTCAAACGCCTGATATTCAGATTTATTTTGCCTTCATCTTGTGTGTATTCGTTTCAAGATAATTGATTGTTATTAAGTGTTTAATTTATATATAATAAAATGAATGACATGTTCACTTAAACATTTCACCATTTTATATTTTGGACATTTTTATTTTGGACATTTTTATTTTTATCCACTGTCAAACATATTTTGTAATATTATATTATGTTTAGTATTATAATGTTTTATGTTTTGTTTGTTTTTCATAAAAACACATATTTATTTTTACGTGTCTGGTATTTTTTATATGCAGTAATTGATATAAATTTAGTGTGTATACAATATCATTTGTAACAACAACATACAATATAATTTATATGGGAATCTTTGTATTTGTTTGATGTGTTTATTCTTTTTTATTTAGTTTGTATTCTGATTTTTTTTCCTGCACATTTAATGCATATTAATTCCTAATGTGCTACTATTAAAAATCTAGTGATACACACACATAAAAATATATATTCAAATTTAGTGAGTATTGGATTTTCTTAATTTATTGAAAATAAGAATAACATTAAATTTCACTATTTATATTTTTATTTTATTATATAAGTAATTTCTTAAATTTGTCAAAGTTGATAAAATAAAATATCTAAGAATATAAATTATGGATTATTTTCAGCTAACTTATGTAGGAATCATTGTATTTGTTTGATGTGTTTATTGCTTTTGATTTAGTTTGTATTCTTATATTTCCTTGTATATTTAATGCATATTAATTCCTAAAGTGCTACTATTAAAAATCTAGTCATACGCACACATAAAAAATATATATATTAAAATTTAGTGAATATCTGAGTTTTCTTAATTTATTGGAAAATAAGAATAACATTAAATTTCACTATTTATATTTTTTCTTTTACTAATAACATTTTATTTCATATATTTTTTTATTTTATTATATCAGTATTTTCTAACATTTGTCAATGTTTATAAAATAAAATATCTAAGAATATAAATTATGAATTATTTTCAACCTTATATTTTTTTAATTCATAGATACTATGATTTTTTATATATTTTTATCTCAAAATAAAAAGGATCATACTTCTTAAAAAAAATTGATAAATGCATTCAAATAAAGTAAACCTTAGTTAATATTAAACATTATTTTTTGTATAATAAATTTGCATGCCATGTGTCATTTTTCTCTCATCCTATATAATAAGATTTCTAACATTTGTCAATGTTAATAAAATAAAATATCTAAGAATATAAATTATGGATTATTTTCAGACAATTTATGTGGAAATCTTTGTATTTGTTTGATGTGTTTATTCCTTTTGATTTAGTAATACTCTTTTTCGGTATATAATGCATATTAATTCTGCTACTATTAAAGATCTAGTCATACACACACATAATATATATATTCAAAATTAGTGAGTATCTGATTTTTCTTAATTTATTGAAAATAAGAATAACATTAAATTTCACTATTTATATTTTGTTATTTTATTATATAATTAATTTTTAACATTTGTCAATGTTGATAAAATAAAATATCTAAGAATATAAATTATGGATTATTTTCAGCTTTATACATTTTTTTTTTGAATTCATGGATATTATGATTTTTAATATATTTTTTATTTCAAAATAAAAAGATTCATATTTCTTAAAAAGAATTGATAAATGCATTCACATAAAGTAAACATTTGTTAATATTAAACATTTTTTTTTGTAAGAATAATTTTATATGCCATGTGTCACTTTTTCATCATATTTAGTGACATGACATTACCATGAAGAAGAAAACTTAACTTTATATAATAAGATATATATATTTGAAACTGTTAAAAAGAATATTATCAAGTCCAACTCTTAAATTTAGCTACTTAGTGTATTTGTGTTTTTTGTTTGCCCATTTGACCTAATTTTCCTAAAATTTACAGCAACAAAAAATATCCAACTCTAAAATTCCTGTAATCATGTTATTTATATAGAGTTCAACAAAAACAGAAAATAGTATATAACAACTAAACATTTTATTCTACCTAGAAGATGCAATCGTTTATATATATATATATAGATCTTTACCATAATTTAGACATATCTAGATTTTAGATCCAAAATTTGAAAACCTAAACACAAAAACACTAAACCTTCAACTCAAAAAAGCAAAATCTAAAATCTATACATACTATTAACATATTTCTAAATTACATTTATCAGTTGTTGTAGATTTGTTTATGTGGGTACAGTAATTTTTAGTACAAAAACAGTATCGTGAGTCAATTTCTCTCTGACACTCTTCCCATTGCACAGTCGCTGGAATGTCCCTGGCCTCAATTCCGGTGAGAAACCTCCGGTGTTTGCTGCTGGTGAACCCCCTCCCTCACCCTTCCCTCCAGATCCCCCTGACCCCCCTTCTCCCCTCTCACCTGTAAATTTCCCTCCCCTCTCCTCAAATCTCACAACTGTTCCAAAGCGTGCTCAACGCCGAGGTCCCTTCTCTTCTCCTATCCTTGTTGTACCTTCTTCTCAACAGGGAGATTTAACTACAATGGCAATGCCAACTCCTGTCTCTGCCATTGAAGGTGCAAATCTGGAAAAATCTGTATCTATTGGTCTACCACAAAGACCTGAAACCTTATCTGAAACAGTAAACTCTTTACTTGTCTCAGAAATTCCGACTACCCCCCTTTTGGATACTGTAAACCAAACGGCCCCCATTTTAGACCTTCCTTTTACAACCTTACCTCCTAAAGCATCCTCACTTATCCTCACAAATAAAGCCGCCTCCCCTGTTTCCACAAACTCACCTTCCCTCCCTGCTTTGCTCCCTAACCCTCCACCCCCCCCTTTCAACTTACGAGTCAGCCCCAACTATTCCTCCTTCTCATGGCCCCCATCACACTGCTACTCCTACTTTGGTGGAGAAGCTAAGAGCTGCTGAAGACAAGTCCTTAAAACGGATAGCACCAGCAACTCTGTCTCCTACTGGAAGGCCACGTGTGTTTATCCCGGATTCTGTTTTTGAAAAAGGAGCTGAACTCCATAAGGATTTCATTATCTGCTACTACAATGGAAAAGCTCCACCGTTCAATCAAATTCAAAGTGTATTTAACCACCTGTGGGGCAAAGGTAAACGACTAGAGATCCATAATAACCCGCTTAACCGTACCACTATTGTAAGGATTCAAAGCGAGTACCTTAGAAATAAAATCCTTGAGAAAGGTGTGTGGTATGTTGGAGACACCATGTTTCAGACAGCGCAATGGTCCTCAATACAGTCCAACTCGTCTCCTCCACTCAAATCGATTCAGATATGGGCGCACCTTACAGGAGTTCCGCTTGATCTTCGACATCAGGAGGGATTAAGTCTTGTTGCTGGTCTGGTGAGAGAACCTAAAGAGACAGATGAGTTCACAAAAAATATGGTCAGCTTAACGCTCTCCCATGTAAAGGTGGAAGTCGATTTAACTAAGGCTTTACCTTCTGTGGTTGAATTTGAGCGTCAAAGTGGTGAGGTGGTGGAAGTTTTCGTCCATTACCCGTGGGTTCCTCCCACTTGCTCTCACTGCCATGAGCTAGGACACATTGTCCGTAACTGCCTCCTCTATACTCCTCCTACCCCTGCAACCGGCTCTGCTTCTAACTCTGAAACCCCCCGGACCACTCAGAAGCAAAAAACAAAAATCTATCAACCTGTTAAGCGGTCTGCAAATGCTTTTCTCAAAGTTACTGCTTCTACCAACCCATCTTCCACCAACACTGGCGCTACTACTATCATCTACCCCCCCTATGGAAGTCTCTTTCCCTTCTCCTGATCATGTTCCTAAACCATCCCTAAAACGCTCCCGCTCCTCTCCCACTTTATCTCCTCCTCACTCCTCTAACCCAAACCCTTTTTTAAAAACCTTACCTAACCCTAAACAGCCTTTGTTCCTAACCTCTGGTCCTAACCCCTTCTATCCTCCACCCTCAACCCAAAGCCACCCTAACCCCGCCACTGATCAACTTTCTTTTTTAACCACTAAGGATCCTCCTTCCCAGGGTGATCCTCCTCTTAATATCTGATGAGTGTAAAGCTTTTTTTTTGGAATATCCGAGGTTTAAATTACCCGGATAAACACAGGCCTTTTGTTAGTTGGCTTCAATGTCATAAGCCTTTATTCGGAGCTATTCTAGAATCACATGTAAAAGAACCTTTTTTGAAACCCCTGATGTCTAAATTATGCCCTGGCTGGTCCTATTTCTCTAACCACTTGGCTGACCCTGATGGTCGAATTATTCTTCTTTGGAATGACCCTCTCAAAGTTACCATTCTCTCTCAATCTAGGCAGTGCATAACCTGTCTACTCACTATTCCCAACGCCCCCCCTGTCTATTACTCTGTAGTCTACGCTTCTAACTTGGGAGCAGAACGATCCGACTTGTGGGTTGAGCTCTTAAACACTGCAGTGCATTACAACCTTGAAAATAACTGTTGGTTTGTGGGTGGTGATCTCAACCAAACTCTTTATCCATCTGATCACTCCAACAACGACGGATCTGGACCCGATAGTCTAATGTATCAAACTCAGGATTGCTTTCTTCAGGCAGGGTTATTTGATCTTCGTTTCTTGGGTCCTTCTCATACTTGGTCAAATAACTGTCCTACAAACCCTATTGCAAAGAAACTAGACAGGTTACTGGCGAACTGCAACTCTATCGCAGCCTACCCTCATGCAACTGCTACTTTCCTCTCACCTTTAATCTCTGATCATACACCCTGTATCTTGGACCTTGCGTACTCTCTCCCCTCTGCTGGTACTAAGCCCTTTAAATTCCAAAACTTCCTGACCCGCCACCCCCAGTTTCTCCAGCTCATGCAAACAGCCTGGTTTCAATCCGGAATTGAGTGTCAAACTTTAACACAATTGTGTTGGAAGCTAAAGTTAATCAAGAGAGAGCTTAAACACCTAAATAGAGAGAACTTTTCAAACATTCAAGAGAGAGTTATTGAGGCTAACCGTTTGTTACAGTGTATGCAGGTACAAGCACTTCAATCGCCCACTCCAGAGAACTTCGAAGCTGTAAAAGAGTACCATCTTAGGTGGTCATTTCTGCGAAATATAGAGGAGAGTTACTTCATGCAAAAGTCAAGGATTAATTGGTTAAAAGAGGGAGATTTAAATACGGCTTACTTTCACCGTATCTGTCAAGTAAGGGCAAGCTACAATGCCATTCGTGCTTTCATGACTCAGTCTGGAGATTGGATAACTGACCCGATGGAGATGTCTATTCATGCTGTATCACACTTTGGAGAAGTGTTAGCTCCCACAAGTCCCTCATCTTCTTCTCTTTATACTGATACTTCTTGGTTTGCTGAGTTAACGAGGTATCAAGTTTCAACTAGCCAAGCTCAACAAATGATAATTTTGCCGACTGCAGAAGAAATAAAACGCATGTTCTTCAAGCTGGATCCCAACAAAGCCCCGGGTCCTGATGGTTTAACTTCCGGTTTTTTTAAGGGCGCTTGGTCTGTCTTAGGCGATGAGACTACTTCTTCAGTTTTGCAGTTCTTTTCCTCTAGCTTCCTGCCAGCCTCTGCTAATGCTACTATTCTCTCTCTTGTGCCTAAATTCCCTGGTGCAACCAAAATCTCAGAGTTTAGACCCATCTCTTGCCTCAATACGGTCTATAAGGTCATCTCTAGACTACTGGTTCGGAGACTTAAGCCTATCCTACCTCAGCTAATTCTTCCTAGCCAAACAGCCTTTGTTAAAGATCGTCTATTATTAGAAAATACAACCCTTGCTAGTGAGCTTATCAATGGCTATCATCGGAATAAAGGATCCAAAAAAATTACCATAAAAGTAGACATTGCCAAGGCATTCGATACTCTTTCTTGGGATTTTCTGTTCTCATGTCTTCAAGGTTTGGGTCTTCCATCGCTTTTCCTCTCCTGGTTGCGAGCCTGCATATGTACTACGAGCTTCATGGTTGGTTATAATGGCAGTGTGAATGGTTATTTTAAAGGGAAAAGAGGACTAAGGTAGGGAGATCCGTTATCACCTTATTTGTTTGTGATTGCAATGAACTGTCTCTCACACCTACTAAACAAGGCAGCAGCAGATCAGAAGCTTAAACTTCATGCTAAGTGTGAGAAGATTAAATTAACCCATTTGTCCTTTGCAGATGACCTTCTCATCTTCATAGATGGGTCTTTAAGCTCTGTCCAACAAGTTTTACAGGTCCTGCGAGAATTTGGAAATAGATCTGGCCTGGCGGTGAGCTTTCAAAAGACTTCCTTCTTTGCCTCAGGAATGGAGCAAGCAGAGGTTGATATGATACAAGCTACTACGGGAATGGCATGTGGCTCGCTTCCTTTTCGTTATCTCGGTGTTCCTCTAAACTCTAGAAAGCTGTCCCTGGCTGGTTGTGACACGCTCCTGCAACAAGTAAAATCAAAATTTAACTCTTGGTCTGTTAAGACACTTTCTTTCTCTGCTCGCTTATTGCTAATAAAAACAGTGATCTCTGGCATTACCACGTTCTGGTGTTCCTCTTTCGTCCTCCCAAAGGCCTGCATCAACAAAATAAATTCTCTTTGTAGTACCTTTCTTTGGAAAGGGGATGTTGAATCAAGAAACACGGCAAGGGTTGCCTGGGACACTGTTACTTTAACGAAAGAACAAGGGGGACTTGGCGTTAAGGACTTACTTACTTGGAACAAATCCTGTTGTTTGCGCTTAATATGGATGATCTTTTTTAGGCCTGACTCGGTCTGGGTTTCTTGGTTTAAGGAGGTCATACTCAAAGGGTCTTCTCACAACTACTGGACCACTAAACGAAGTTCTTCTTTCTCGTGGTTAGTGAATAAATTGCTGAAGTTGAAGAGTGTTGTTTACCCCTTGCTGCGGGTGGATTTGCAGAATGGAGAAACAACAAGATTCTGGTTTGATAATTGGAGCCCTTTTGGATGCATCCATGACTATCTCCTCGCCTCTACCTCTAGACTTGGCATTCCTCTGAATGCAACGGTTGCCTCCCTATACAGGAATGGAGCTTGGCGCCTCCCTCCTGCTAGATCAGATCAACAATTACAGCTTCTCTCCTTCCTAACAACAATTCAACTTAGTGAGGATCCAGACAACTATTTGTGGGAAATTGACGGGAAGAAAATGCTGAAGTATGAAACAGGAAGGGTATATCATTACCTCTGTGGGAACATAGACACAGTTCAGTGGGCATCGGCGGTTTGGTCTTCCAAAGGTATACCGAGGCAGTCTTTTCATGCTTGGTTGGTGGTGCTTGATCGCAACCCAACTCGCGATCGTCTTTTAAGCTGGGGAATCCATGTAAGCCACCTTTGCCTCCTCTGTAATTCGGCTTCAGAATCTCGGAACCATTTGTATATGGACTGCTCCTTTAGTTTCGATCTCTGGAGGCTTGCTGCAGCTAAGTGTCGCCTTCAACCACTCCGGAACTGGTCGGATTTGCTCAGCCAAATGATTTCCCTCCCTCCTCCGAAATCAACAAAGTTATTAATTCTCTTAGTGTGGAAATCAGTCATGTACTGGATATGGAGGGAGAGGAATCAGCGACTTCATTCCAATTCCTTCAGGTCTGCTGATTCGCTTTTCAAGACCATTGACCTTCAAGTCAGGAATAAGATTCATAGTTTCAGAGAGGACAACCCCTCTCTTGCTTCGAAGATGTTGCAATTCTGGTACTCCTAAGCGATCGTTCCTAAGGTCGTAATCCCCAACCCCCACGGGACTTAGGGGGAGAAGCAACTATCATAATAAACGTAATCCCCAACCCCCACGGGAGAAGGTACGTTCTTTCTTCCACCCAAAAAAAACAATTCTTGGCAAAAAGAGTAGACTACTCACAGATATTCTTCTGTGTTGCAGAAGAAATGGTTTTGTTTTTGCTAACTCGGTTGAAGAACTCGATGATAAGGAAGCAGACCAGTGAGCAGAGTAGTAGTCTTGTACAAATGACAACGACCATACCTTTGTTCGTATAAGATGATTTTGCAAACTTCTCTTATCCTTGCTCGTTTAGTTCTCTTATCAACTTTTGTTTTGGCCACATTTGGGTTTAGAAATAAATTTTTCATTGTTCTTGCTGTGTATACTGCTTGTTACTCAAGAGCCTGCGATTCCAAACCATTTGCGACAAAAGCAAACATCAACTGTCCTCAGGTTCCAAAACTCAAAACAGGTTGCCGTTTATGCAGCTATAATAAAGTTCTACGAGTAAAGAACCAGTGAGAAAGAAAAAACAGGCAGGTTCCATTTAACCTCAAGACTTGAGTGCGGTGGACAGATTACAAAAGTTCTGTGGTGAAAATCTGTCAAAAGCACCGAGGACAGACTTGCCACATACATATTGTTTTAGAGTTTAATTTACCTAAAACGTTTGTAACGAAAATTAAAAAAAAACCCATGATAAAGACAAAATGTATCAGGTATGTAAGGTCATGAAGCTTGGTGTCAATTCCAACCATCACTTTCATTACCATTAGCGCCGACCTGAGGAGGTTCTCCTACAGCATGTGAGCTTCCTGTCGAATCCGGGAGCTGTTGGATGGAATGGTCAAATCTACAAGCTGGACCAAATTTGCAGATGCCGTAGCGACTGTAATGAGTGCAGATGATTTGATCCTAGATTCATTTTAACCAATAAGTCAAAAGAGAGTCCATCAAACATCAAATGAGACTCAAGATAATCGCCTACAAAGCCTACAACTTTCTAATACCAATACACAAGGACAGAGAAGAGAAGGAAAAACAAACGAACTTACAGGTCTAAGGGGTAACCCCTTGTCATTGAGAGCATAAGGAGGCTGTTTTGGCAAACGATTCTTAGGATGATGGTATTTGCAAGTGAATTTGAACTTGCAATCCCCAGTTTTAAGATAATAACTGCACTCAGGCTGGTCCGGACGTTCTGGGAATTCCTCAGCAGGTTTTTGATATTTGTATGGTGTGAAAATACTTGTTTCAGCAGATGAATTGTTCATAAGGTATGCGTTGGAAGGAGTAAACACACTCCTTTCTGATGGATACACAGAAGCCTAGGCAAGTACAAAAGATGTAAAGAAAAAATCAAACTAGATATATAAACTTCAAACATTAGATCATTATTAAGATCCACAACTTAGTACCTGATAGCTATTCCACTCGGGAGTTTGAGCTGAAGCTCCACGACTCTGAGACAACATGGATGGAATAAAAGGAGCTGTACCGTTCGCATGCCTCGGTGAAGACCAGGACGTTGAACTTGGTTGGAATGTGCTTTTAGGGGAGAATGATCCGATGGATCCACCATTATTACCATGAAAAGATGGAGAGTCGGTTCCTCCAAGAGTTGAGGGATCAGGATGATTAAATTTGCAGTCAGCTCCGAATTTACAAGAGCCATTGCGCATGTAGAAAAGACATTCTATTTCTCCCTGCCAATGGGGTTTGTTGCATGATTATATAGCATTTGAAAAAACTTAATAAATATAATGTCAAGACAACAACAAAAAAAAAAGAATTTAAAATGGGAAAATACCGGTCTGATGGGAAGGCCGAGGAAGTTAAGCTCAGGTGCTGAGGATACATCAGACATTGGTTTTGCATGGTTGAATCTACAAGTTAATCCATATTTGCAACCTCCTGTCCTGAAGTAATACTGCAAACCCGCATACAAGAACTGAATATAAGTTATGCCATTAACAAAACGAGAGCATGTAATAAAGGTGAAAGGAACCTTGCAATCCATGAGTCTATCAGCATCCTCTTCCTTTTCTCTTACTTTACTCTCCATAGCAATCTTCAATACAACGTAAACATTATAAAACGAAACAAAAATCTGAAACTTGTTCCGTGCATATACAGTTAAGACAGAACATAAACACTAAACAAAAAAAAGCTTTCTCCTTTGGTCCAGCAACGAAGCACATAGCACAAAATACAAATAATATATTACTCTATACACATGTGCCACTGATTAAAATAATTATGTTACTTTAAAACCAAATCTTCCCCAAGACCAATTAAAACAGACAATTAAGAACTAATTTCCTTGTGAGAAGAATCTCTTTGACATAAAAAACAAAGCTCATTGAGTCTCTTTCACGTGAATACAAAACATATGAGCGTACTACAAATCTTTTAAACCCTGAAACTGTTTCCACCAGAAGCATACACAGTTGAGACAGAACATAAAGACTAAGAAAAGCTTTCCCCTTTGGTCCAGCACATTGTATAATATAGAACTCTATACGCATGTGCCTCTAAGTAAAATAATTGTGCTTCTTTATAAACAAACTTTCCACAAGACTAATTAAAACACACAATATACTTGTCTGAAAGAATATCTTTCACGTAAAGACGAAGCCATATGAGAAAGTGTAGTCAAAAGTGAAGTTACTTGGAGTTTTCTGGGATTTGGAAGAGGGTGGTTGAACTTGCAAGTGGATCCGAATTTGCAGCTCCCTGTTCTCATGTAAAACGCGCAATCCTCTGCTCCTGGCCTCACCGGATACACCACTTGGCTCTCGTTCTCGCTCACACCATCTTCTTCCTCCTGGTTTCCGTCTAGGGCTTTCGAATCAACACCACCATTACCCTCAGATACACTCATCATCTTCCCATCCTTCGACACGTCATCCAAACCCACATTCTTAAACTCGTTACTGAGGACAACATCCGCCGCGTGATTGAGATCAGAAGGAGATCCAGACACAGGTTTAGGCTCGAGCCCGTCTGTAATTGACCCGGAGATTCCTATCATGTTGTTGTTTCTTTCTTCTTACAAACACATTACAAAACCCTAATCTTCAGGGAGGACGAAGAAGAAGATCAAAGGGTGTTTTTGTGTAAATGAAACGACAAAGATGAAAGAGAAGTAATAAAGTTGTTCGCTTTATTTTTTTATTTATTATTCTCTTTTATGGGTTTCTTTTTTGTTGACTTTTTAAAAATCGTTCAGGAATGAGATTCCCAAAGAAACCGTTGCTTTACTATTATTTCACAACTTCCAATATACAAGTTTGTTTACATTACATACTACATACATGTAAGCATCTTCTCATATCATTTTATGCGTTTCAGATATCTTCCTCTGACAATTTTATAGTACACATCTTCTAATCATTTTATGCCTTTTTAAGTTCCAATATTCAAGTTTGTTTACATTACCCTTAACTTTCTAACATGTCAAAGCAGTCTACGGAAATGAAGAAACACAAATATTCTCCTAAACCAGGATTATTATGATGAATCCATCCAAGTATCCAACATTAAACAAAGACAACAGAGAATACAACAAAAGAGAGCTTCTGAATGTCTGAAACAACACAGTGGCCCTCCTCAATGTTTAAGACTTTGAATGAACAATTACCAGATCCACAATTTTTAAAACCACTAATTCTCCTTCTAACCCAATGGATTAATAATAGAGCTTCATGATAGATTCGATTCCATGTTAAAAAGCCTAATAAAAAGGCTAAAAAGTCAAGTCACTTTTTCTTGGTCTTCTTAGCTGAATGACCTGTCTTCCTTTTGTGCCTGCTAAAATCTGAGACAAACCTGAATGTCTGACTACATCCCGGTTCTGCACAAACATAAGGCCTCTCACCAGTGTGTACCCTTATGTGCTCTGTTCTAGACCAAGCCCACTTGAACGTCATCTTGCATCCTTTCCATGGACATTTCAGAGGACGATCATCTGAGTGAACACGCTGGTGCTGTACCAAGTATTTGTGTGAGAAGAAGTTTTTGCCACAGCCTTTGACAGGGCAGATGTTTCTTTTATGCAGAGACAACTGTTTCTCAGAACTGAAACTCATTGTGCATCCTTCCATGTCACATTGGTACGGCAAGCGTTCCTCTTCCTCCACATCGTCTCCACTTGCGACTCCGGAGAGGGAAACATTACTTCCTTTCTTACCAGTTTTCTTCGGCTTCAGGCTACTCACCCTTATCCGTGTGCTAGCTTCCTCACTTTCTTCTTCTTTTTCATCTTCCTCCACCTCTTCATCACTTGCAACTCCTGAGAAGGATACATTTCTTCCTCTCTTACCAGTTTTCTTCGGTTTTGTTGCTGAAGATCCTCTTGAGGGCTTCGGGTTTCTCACCCTAAGCCGTGTGCTAGGTCCCTCCATGTATGAATCCAACTCTTTAATCTTCTTTCTTGATCCAGATTGTAGCAAAGTGTGACCAGATGTGTCTCCCAGACTCTGAACTATCTTGGTTTTTACTTTACGTTTAGCTATGGACCTGGTTTGCCTGTTCCCTGTACTGCAATAGTCTTGTTCCTCCAATGAATTCTCTTCTGAATCGTACTCTCCACCCATTCGACTAGTCTGTGCATCACTTGTGAACACTCTTTCCCTTTGCTGATAAACACCAATTGCTTCTGAATCATACGAAACCAGATCTCTAAAAACTTTAGTCCGTTTGCTCCGTGGAATCCCTCTAGGGTTCCTGTAGATATCATCATCTTCATCATCATCATCATCATCATCATCATCATCATCATCATCATCATACATTGGCTGCTTCTCTCGGTATACCTGAAAGCCATCCTCCATCGAGCTATCTGAAGATGCATATTCCCTTACAGCATATTCTCGTCCAAGTGAACGCTCTGAAACCTCATCATCTGTCTCAAATTCTTTAACACCCTTGTCTCCACGAATTATCTTGAGCTGTTGCTGATCAGACATTTGATTTGATGAATCACCAGAAACCGGATTCCCTGTCTCAAAATAAGACTCTTCCTCATCCCCGTAAGCCCTCCATTGCTGCTTATAGGAATGATCCTCTGATGTATCGTCAGAAACTCCTGCTTCCCTCTTAAAAGATGTGAGCTTCTTGCGTGGCACAGCCTTCCCTCTCGCCTTTCTCTTCCTACAATACTTTCTTCCGAACATTGTGGTTGAATCTCTAGAATCATTACCATGAAACGATCTCTTTTCAGTGACATCCTCATCCAGAGCAACTCGCAGATGACTTCTTTCAGATTCTTCCCCCTCTAAATCCTCCTCCAGCAGAAACGGATGCACCTGAAGAAAGAAAAGGAAACCAGTCTTAAACTGAAACAAACCAAGCAGAAACGTAATGTCTGAACTAGTATGGCTTTCAAGTTAGTCAATAGTACCTGATGCGACATCCAAACCTTACCACACCATTTTCCAGCAACATATTTCCTCTGTCTGGAAGATCTTATACCAGAAACTTGGGGTCTTGTGGGTGAGCTCGCTGCAGGAGAGGTGCGACCGAACACATTGTAAATGACGCAGTTGTAAGGCATCTGCTTACTGTAGAGAGGAGAGCGACTGAGGATAGCACTGTGAGAAAGGTTAATACCCAACTTTACAGCCCAGTCACTGTTCCCAGCCTTAGCTTCAAGATTTGCCAACGCCGCCTGAATCGTTTCCTCATCCTCTCGGGTCACATTCTTGTATTCAATATCATTCCACTCATGATTAACTCCAAGCTCTCTGGCAACTATCTTTCCTTCAGACTCTATCCTCGGGTACTCTGCAAATGGCATATGCATAATTCATAACTCACTTTGTTATTACACTTAAAGAATAGTTGAATCGTGTCGTTTTGCTGTTACCTGGATGGCATAATAGCATTATGTTAATTCCTCCAATAGGATGAAGACGCTGTTCTACTTCAACAGCATGCTCAAGACAAAACACGTGCAACCGAGAGAAACCGTCATCAGATCTTGGAATAAACGGTGAAGTTATTTCTACTAGTGAAGTATTCCTGCCTTCGCTTAGATTAGCATGTGATACGTCAACCTCTTTTCCTTTCTCACATGTAAGTCTTTGGCTGTTTAAAGCAGAAGGTAGACCATCTCTGGCCTCCTCGTTGCCATCTTCAAGTACGCAAGCAACTTCATCCGAAACAGGATTATTAAAGCCTTTTTGCTCTTCTTCCTCTGAATCAGAAGAGTCTCCATATGCTGAAGCTAGTAACCCTAGAGCACCATTCTCTTTTGTTAGGGAACTTGATGAAGTTCTTTGATCACCGGTCTTCACTGAATGATACGGAGTTTGAACATGAGCAGTGTATAAGTAGCCAACATCTTGCTTTCCTGTGTTTTCTGCGTCATGAAACAAAGTTATATGAAACAGAGTCTACAGAGTTAACACTTTAAAAACCATTTAAAGAATGAACGACTAGTAACTTACGTGAAGGAGGCTTCACTACATCCTCACCAAGATTGACAGATCCGGAAGCAACTGTAACTGTCCAATCATTGAAGAAGCTACAATCTGCAGACATGAGATATCTAGCTGCTGCTTCTTTAGGTTGAACAATAGCTACACAATCAAAGCTTAAGATTCCACATGTAACACATGAGAAAAGCCTCTGATCCGAAAGCCCCACAGCTCCATTATTTTTCATCCTTTCAGCATCTGTTGAAGTTCCTTGGGTTTCATCTTCTTTGCTCGCCACATGATTTCTGTTCCTTTCACACAAAGATGTAAACTTCTCTTTCACACCGTTACTGAGACTGGCCATACCACTATCAGAACTCAAGTCCTCCGATTTTAACTGGATTGGCTTTTCCTGGTTAGCACCCAAATGGGACCCAATTCGCAGTTCAGAGCAAACCGATATATCTGAGGAACTCTGTGGAAGAAGACCTATTGGACATCCTTTTCCAAGAGAGTGGAGCAACTCATTGTTGTGGATAATGTTTTGCACAAATAGTTCATTAGCCAATTTTTCTCCTTCGCTTTTTTTCTTATCTTTCAATCTAGAACTCCTAGGGTTGGTGTGGATGCTAGCTGGCACTCTGCAATGAGTTCACAACTTATGTCAACTATTAAAGACTATACTTGAAGAGTGCGTGGAAATCGATAGAAAAGAAGAAAGTACCTTGAACCTAGAGCCAATGCATAGTCATAAAGTAACTGGAGATGAGAAACCATTGGAGGGTAATTTATGGAAGCTCGTCGAATGGCAGCATCTTTTGCCATTCTCAACCACTGTGGAGTTGCAATGTTAGATGCTTCCCCAAAATTGAATCCTGCAACCCCCAAGATTCTGATGATACAGGTTGACGTATTAAGCCTTGAAGATACTAAATGAAGGTTGCTTACTCACCATGACTAAATCCCGAATGATATGCTCCTGGAAAGGTGATGACAAAATCTCCAGGATTTTGCACTAACCTGGTACAAGCAAACCACTTGCGTGAAAAAAAAAAAACAGGAGAAAGAAAAAAATTGTGCATTTGGATGTTAATTGCTTCAAACGAAATGTGAAAACAGGGTTGAAGCAACTAGAAGTTTATTTTCTAAACAGAGCAAACACAGAAAACAAGTACCTGCAACATGGTATCCCGGCTCTAACAAATACTTCAGGAGACATAACAGTTGTCTTCTCACCAAGAGTAGAAAATGTCACTGGTAAGACAGCAATATAAAGAGATAAAACCGCTTAGTTTGCTTGCATGTAACTGCAAACACCGCTTTGAAAAAGAATAAAAAGCAGTTCAAAGCAACAGAGCGAACAGAACACACAACAAAGCCAACAATCAAAAAAAAAGAAATTGAAACACTGAGTAACTCTAAGTCACTCCCAAATAACAATAATTAACCTCCACTAGATACTCGCCAAGCTAAGTATTTAGTTGACTCTACAGGAACACATTCTTCCTTGATCAAATTTTTAGAAACAAAGCAGTTAAAAGCAACACAAAGATTCCAACAATCAGAACTCGTTATCAAAACAAGACTCTGGCTTGAAACAAAAACCAACCAAGCACAATCCTTTACTGACATTTTTTTACACAAGTGACGGTGTAACAGAGCAATAAGCATATTAGTAGAAAAGAAAACCCACCAAGAGGATTAAGCTCTTCTCCATAACCATGAACCCTAACCACCTCCTCAAAGGCCATAGCAGCATCCTTCGGCACACCGTACCAAGTCTTACCAGCACCCAAATGCAAGTAATTAAGACTATGGAGGTCATGGTCCTCCACATGCCAAGCAAACCAACTAAACATCATAGCAATATAAACCATCGGAGACGTCACACCAGGGATCTCTTCCTTCATGAACTTGAGCAACGACCCTTCAGCTCTAGCCATCGCCCTCATGTTCCAAGCTGACTCACCAACAGTCCCACCATCACCACCAGACTCTCTCCTCCTCGCAGCAGCTAAACTCAGAGGCACAAAAGCCGATCCGGGCATGTCATTAGCATACTCAACTGAGAAAGGCTTATCCACGGAGGCTCTCCAGTAAAGTGTCTCGATTTCAAGCGGCGAGACAGAACTCTTCTTACCACATTTCTTAAGATAACTCTTCTCAAAGTTCTTAGCTTTAAACTCGAACTCATCGAAAGTGTAACGCTCACCACTCTGCCACACGGGTCTCTGCACGGGACGCTGCCTCCTAGGGCAAAACCCGATCTGCTGTTGACGCGTGGTGAATGTGGGTCCACCACCGTCGTACTCGGACTTTCCGCCGTCACGAGCCCTGGCCCGAGCACGAGCGGCTAGAGAGCGGTTGAGGTTGCTAACGGCGGTTTTCTTAGAGGAAGGAGGCACAGGAGGCACAATTTTGCAGATTCCGTATCTGGAAGCTTCCTCTTCGATCTTTGAAATGTAAGCCATCGGATCTTGGAACTCTGCTAGAGTGGGTCTGAACTCTGGGGCTACTGGTAGCGATTTCAGCCATGGAAACACGTCTTGGCTCTGCTCTGAAACCGCCATATCTCTCTCAAAGTTGAAACCTTTCTCACGAATTCTTCAGTTTCAGCTTGTGGGTTCTGCTCAAATCGCCATTACAGAGCAGAAACAGAGCAAAAATTGGGAAAAACAGATTAGAGAGATTCGACGAGTCACCACCACCAGCCAATAGGTTTGGGTTTGTTAAAGGGTCATCTACTTTTCTTTTCCTCGAGAAAAGCGACGGGCTTGATCTCGTTTTTCTTAGGTCTCTGTTTTATTATTGGATTAAAGAAACAGAGGAAAAAAATTGTATTTTTATTGGGGTTTGGGGCAGAGTAAGAGATGTGATTTCTCTGTATTTATCAAGTAAAGAAACACACTGAGGAAGGGTTTTTGAAATCCTTTAAGAAGGGTAGTGATCTTACTTTAATTTACGATTCTGCCATTTCATTTGTTAGTCACACTCACACACACACATTTGTTGTTGTCCTCACTGCAAGTCCGTTTGCACATTCAAAAACTCTCATTTTATCAATCAAAGCATATCTTCCTGATGTATGAATAAATTACGTTTCATAAAAAAAAGAAGCATCTGTTGACCAAAAAAAAAAAAAGAAGCATTTTGATAAGTCAAATTTATCACGGATAATTCAGAGGGAAAAACTATAAATATGATTTCGGGCTTAAAATATAAAAGTGAAACAGACATTTTCATTAAACATTTTCCTTATATATCTTATTATACATCTAATTTTCCTAATTATTTGGTATCAAAAATTTATTAAGTTTCCAAGGTATTTAGTTTGTAATTGGCAAAAATGTAATTCCATTATAATTTGTCAATAAATCAACAATGAAATTCAACACCCAAAATAATGCAAAATTTAAACATGCACATATACATATTGTTTACTCTCGAATTCACCATTTAATTATATATGAATATGATCCCTTGGTTTGTTTAACGAATGTTGTCTCTACCCACTGACTACCCAATAAAGCAAAGGGTATCTATGCTTAAAATACATTCCAACTCTTTAGTATTGGGCACTTATCAAAGAGAAAAACTAGAATAAGATTTTTTGGGAAGATTCAAATGTTAGAATATCTACATTTTTCAGGAATAGAAAGCATATTATAAAACACAGGAATAACTACTAAGTAGTGCCTTTGAGAGCTCAACAAGGCCAAATAAGTGTCTCAATAACATCAACCTAAATCTTGGTCTTTTGAAAGAAAAGATTAAAAGATCATCTAACCTCAGCTTTGATAACACAAGCTTTGATTTGAGTCTAAAGAAGGCTTATCTTCTATTACAGAAGATGACGGATTCAGTTAGAAATCTGGCTCTCTTCCGCATCTGAAGATGGCTTCGAAAGCTCAAGTGAAACCGGGCAGTGATCACTCCCATAGAAACCTGAAAAAAAATTGAAATCAAGAACCAAGTTGCTGCAAAAGAGCTAGATGATCTTCTATGAATCTATGATTAACTGCACACTAAATCTTTATTTACGGCACCTTCTAATTCTATCCCACGACCGTGCATCTTACAAGAAACTATACGGTCTTTGAGCTGCTCAGAAACCAGAAAATAGTCGATCCTCATTCTCTTTCCCCTGTACCTATTGCAACAAAAAGATCCATATGAAGCTTTAGAAACATGATAATGATGAGCTTATGGACTCCATGCATGTGAAACTCGCAACTGAAAAAGACCGTGTCATTCAATGTTGGTATCTTCTTACTTTCCAATGGGATTCCCAGACCATGAGAACCCACTTTCCAAGTCTGGTTCCTTGTGTAGATACCGGTATGCATCAACAAGCTTTCCTCTGTAACATTCCCATGATTTTAATTTAGAATCACATGGTCAGTAACTATAATCTCTATTCTACAAAATATTACTACTAAGACTTCACAATGCAAAGATATATTTACTCTTTCATAATTGTACCGAAGCGTGCTCTCTCAGATGGTGTAAATCCAGGTTGTCCGCAGTCCTGCATGATCAAATCACTTAAAACCATTTATAGTCACCGTGTGATCTTGAAGTGCCTATCGTTGATAAGGTTTGGTTCAGGCCTAATACAGTCATCTACAATGGGAGGTCAAAGTGTGAATGCAGAGACAAGACAAGATTTTGTATTCGTTACCTCTTTGTTTGGAGGAACATAACCGTTAAGCTTTGCTGTTGCGAAAAATTCTGGATGGCTGACATCTATCTCCTCATGACTGCATAATACAATTTTTTTTGGTAACACTGAAAGGGCTTTTGAAGAAAAGAGGTCGAAAAACTTTTTCATTACCTGACATTTAAGTCGCCGCACCATATTAGAGGTTTATCAGACGTTTGGGAGAGGAACTCAACAATCCTCTTGTCCCATTTTCTTCTCCTTTGAAATGAATTCTCCTCTTCTTTCCAACCATTGTTAGGCGAATACGTATTCAAAATACGAAACGTCTCAAATTCAGCTAAGATTACACGACCATCAGGTTCATGTTTAGACGCTGCCAGGAAGTATATAAGTTAGTCAGCAATCTGAAATAGATATTGTTATATGGTATAAAGTTTGAAATCAAGAAAATTGCAGAACCATTATGACACAGAGAAAAGACACACAGTTTTGAATGCTATGTGATGGTCAGAGAACAAGCAACAAGGCTTACAAAAAAGAAAATACCTAGTTTGTCTAGGTTGAAGTAAACTTTATGGGGCTTGAAACACTTTTTCACTAACAAGGCTGTGCCTGCATACTTGGACTCGGCAAGAGACCACCAAACTCGATAGTTTCCAAATGGTGGACTTGAGAGAGCCCGCATCAAAATCTGCACAACAGTTTTCAAGCATGAACGTAATTCAAGCAACAAGGAGAGTTTGTTACCCTAAAACCATGCCAGTGCATTGTTGAGTCTAAATCAGACACCAAAGTGTGCTTGTATATCTTTTGAAAATTCGTTTCTTTCGTTGTTATAATAATACAAATAAACAGGCTAATGAATAGGGTACCTGTTTCTCCTCACGCAAGACTTTGGTGTCATCGCTCAACTCGCCATAATTTTTAGATTTTCCTTTTCCACCAGCAGCAGGCATTCTTACTTCCTAACAATAAGAACACAGTCGACGCTAAGCTCAGAATCACTAGCCCTTAAACACGAGGACTCTAATATACTTTCAGTGCCACAAGCGAGTGAGTTTTTATCAACAGGTTTGGACTCAACTTAAAGAACGAATCCGAGACACAAAAGCTAACTTGAGCAACACTAATATCATAAGCAACCATAGGTCAGTAAAACCCTAGAGAATTTCAAGGGATTCATTCAGACACAAACAACTAACCAGATCAACGCACATTGGTCGGAATCAACCTCCTATTGAATCAAAAAGGAAGCAGAAGAAACCACCTGAATGGCAATGACATCAGGGTCGAAATCGGAGACGAACTTAGAGAAGTCGGACCAGTCGTTTTTCACGCGAAGGAGGAAGCTGTTAGCGTTCCAAGTCACAAACTTTGTCGGCTCTTTCTGGTTCTTTCCTTCTCCGTCTCCGTCGCGCTTTTCCGGCGAGAGACAGGGCTTCTTAGCCGCCGCTGAGCCGTCTTTCTCTATGGGCTTGAAGAATCGCTTCATAGCTTAGCGATTTTGTGCCCTCACGCTCCCTTTTTGGTCTTTTAAAACAATCAAAATTGAAATGGGCAGTGTGAAAGAATAAAAAGAAAGAAGCTTTCCGCTGTTCTTCTTCGCAACGATTAGTGTGGTTTATTTTACATAGAAAAAAATTGGAACGTCTCATAGTTTCATACAGTGAAACCCACCAACGCAAAACCTACTTTTTACACAAATAAATGAGTGAAAACCCAAACAATACTCTCCTAAGCCCATATTAATATTATATAACGTGTTAATATCGAATTATATAATTTTTACATGAATATTCGTCTCTTTACTCTTCAAAGCCCGAGATTAGGCCAGATTGATAGAAATAAAGAAAGAAAGTTGGATTCACATTCACTACTTCCTCACAAAATCATACAACTTTTCAACAAATCTGTGACTCCATTCTTAACAACTCAGCTTCTCCGGATGATGATGATTTAAGATTTTGGTTAATGTTAGTCATGTAACTCCTTTTATTTAGTTAACATTAGTAACATTATCGAAACCTCGAAACACATCCTCAAAGGAAAGTGATGCGGTAACCGATAGTAACTGATACGTGTAGCTTCAATTATTTACTTTGAGAATGTCTAAAAAATTACAAATTTGAATCCGTTGAGATTACTAATGATTTAGCCATAAACAAGAGTTGAAAGCAAAACTTCGTTTATAAAATCAATAATAATGTATTCTTACAAAGTCTAGAGATTACTATATATAGGTATAGAAATAGTCTTAAGTCCTTAAGAATTATGATCGAAGACCATGTGCAACAGCAATTCTTAGGGGAAATCCTTAGGAAAAAAAAAATATTTCAGATTATATAAGGATATTTTAAATTTTTTTATTTTAAAAGTGACAATTCGCATACCGCCACGTGTGCAGTGGAGCCCGCGAATAGTGCAAGAATCTCTATAATATTATTTGAGAAGTCACTTTCTTAGGTGTCGCGCTCACGTTAACTCTCACGTTGGTTGATTACTATGATACCCCTAGTGAATTAAAATACAATTAAATATTATTTCCTTTTTAAAAATTTCCAAATAACAATTTAAAATAAAAAAGAAACATTTATAAAATTTACAAAACTATTTAAAAACGAAAATATAAGTATATATAATATGGTTTAATGAAAAAAAGGAAAGTTCACAAAATAGTAATATTTAATTTAAATATATTTTAAATAACATAAAATATACCTTTGAAGTAATAAAATAATTTATATCTATATCTTCTTAGATAAAAAAAACAATATATGTATATAGTGTGGTTTCATATAAAAAATTCACACAAAAAAATATTACTATTAGAAAAAGAAATATTTTTTCTTTAAAAAATAAAATTTTAAAAAATAAAATTTATTTATTTTCAAAATAATTATTGTTTTATATAACTATATATTTTATTAGATGATTACATAAAATAATCAACTAAAATAAACTGATATATGTTTCATTGTTATTTTTTTATAAATTATTGAAATTATTTTTTTTAGTAAATTTGTTTGACTATAATATCTTACAATTACAGTAAAAATATAAATTTTATTTTACTTATATAGTATAATTTCTCAAAAACAATCACTTTTTACTGAATATTTTAAGA